GTTAAGTCAGACATTAAGAAGGATAAATTTAACACATCTGATTATTGGAAGTTTTTTACTAAGATTGGTGTCTAAGGATGCAAAAGAAAAAGCAATGTAATGGTTGTAGCACAAAATATGTAATTGGTGGCAAAATATATGGAACTTCTCACTTAAATCATCATATTGAAAAATGTGACAAGATCAAAATTGAAGATATGGGTCAAATGATTTTAGACATGCAAGGAAAGTCAAAGTAAAAAAAAAAAATTAGATGGTGTCTTATGAGTTGTGTGTTAATTTAATTACCAGACATCGTTTACCTTTTCAATTTCTTGAGTATCCAGAGCTTAGGACTTTGGATAAATTATTTGAGTCTTGATGCAATGTTAGTTTCTAGGAATACTACTAAGAGTAATGTATTGAGAATATTTATGAAAGAAAAGAATATAGTTAAGGAAGAGTTGACTACTATTTGTAGTAGGATTTATTTAATTTCTAATTTATGGACATCTTATACTACTAAAGGCTATATAAGTTTGACAACTCATTATGTTGATTTAAATTGGATGGTTATATATAACTTTGACAACTCATTATGTTGATTTAAATTGGAAGTTAAGAAGCAAGATTCTTAACTTTTGTCATTTACCTCCACCTCATACTGGATTTGAGTTGTCTAAGAAGATAAATGAATTATTGCATGATTAGGGAATAAAGAAAAATATTTTTTTATTACTTTGGATAATGCTTCTAGTAATGATGTTTTGCAAAAGACATTAAAAAGTCAACTTGATTGATATTTGATGATGAATTCTTTCACGTGCGTTATTGTGCACACATTTTAAATTTGATTGTTCAAGAAGGATTGAAGGTACTTGATAATGTATTGGATCAAATCAAGGAGCACATCAAATATGTTAAAGGTTCAAAGAGTAGAATGATTAAATTCAAACAATGCCTTCAAAGTGGGTTGTGTTTAGATGTTCCTATAAGGTAGAATTCAACTTATCTGATGATTCAAAGTACTCTTATATACCAACATGTTTTTGGAAACTTACAACTAATGGATGAAAATTATAAATATTGTCCTTATGAAGAAAAATGGAAAAAAGAAGAAAATATTAGTGTTTTCTTGTTGCCATTTGATGGTATAACTACTTCAATTTCAGCTACAAGTTATCCTATTTCCAATATGTAATTTTTACAAGTTTGAAAAATTTAGTGCCTTTTAATAGAAAGTGCAAAGGATGAAGATGAAGTTGTAAGAGACATGGCTTAAAACATAGGATGAAATTTGATAAATATTGGAATAAATATAATGTTGTACTTGCATTTGGTGCAATTTTAGACCCGGATGAAGTTGGAAACATAAAATTTTGTTATGAAAGAATTGATCCACTTACCTGTGAAGTAAAGTTGGAGAAAATAAAGAAAAAATTATAGATGTTTTCCTCCCAATAGCAAAAGTACAACTTCAAATGTTCTAAAGTGCAAATATGTTGATATTTAATCTTCAAAACCAAGTCTTCTTGATGTAAGTTAATTACTCCAAGTCAATTATTTTTTATGAATTTTCAATTACTATTTTTAACTTCTTTATTTATTTATCACATTAGGAATTAAAAAAAACACAAACTTCAAGCTGCATCTAGAATTGGCAGAAACCAACTTGATTTTAAAGAACATATGGATGTTCTATAATGGTGGAAGAATAATAGCCAACGTTTGTCTGATATTTCATTATTGGCTATGAATTTGTTAAGTATATATATTATTACATTTGCTTCTGAAGTTGTATTCAGTATTAGTTCTAGGATTCTTAATAAGTACAAAAATCATCTTCTGCCTGAGAATTTGATAATCTTTTTTATTTTACTAATTTTTTCTTTCTTCAATTTCATGTGTTGTTGAAGATGAGTAGGCATGACAACGGGACAGGGGACGAGTTTTGCCTCGTCGACCCCTGTCCCCAACTTTTTAAATCATCCCCGTCCCCAATCTATATTATTTTTAAAAAAATAATTATATTTATAATAAATTAATTTTAATATTTTTATATATTTTTTATACATAAATAAATTTATAATTTTATAATTTGTAATTATTACTAATTAAATATATATCTTAATTTATTATATTTACATTAAAATATGTATGTAAAACAAATATTTAATTATTTTTTCTTTATGCAGATATAAAATACTTATAATCATGGTTCTTAAAACTAGAATGGTCATCAAATCAGTGAACGTATGGGTTTAAGGCTCAAAAGTCCACCCAGGTTTAACCGAGAATTAAACTCGAGTTGAACCGGATTTAATAAAATAATATATTTTAATAATATAATAATATATTAAACTTAAAATAAGTTTATCACATCATAATAACAATTTCAATCCAATATAAATGCTACTTAAAAAGTATTATATAATAATAAGAATAATTTATAAAATAAATAAAGAAAAGTAACATGAATAAACATATTATCAAACACTTGGAATACTAAGTAATTAGAGAAAAAAAAATTGTCGTTGCACCTAATTTGAAAATAATTAGGAAAAAAAACTATAACTTGAAAATAATTAGGGAAAAAACTTCATCTAACTTGAAAACAATTAAAGGAGAAAATTGCAGCATATCATCCATTGCATTTAACTTCAAATTTTATACATTTTATTTTATTTGATTTCATGGCATGGTTGTGGAACCCAAGGATAACTCACTAACCACTCATCAAATTAGTTTTCAAAATTAAGATATTGTATTTCCATGAATGATTGTAGTAAAAATAATAGTAAACAATGACGACAACAAGGGTGACGCCGAAAGGAGACATTCAAAGGTAGTGGGTGGTAGTGGCGATGACAATTATAAGAACAAAAATTGTAGTAAAAGAAGAATACCACCATCAGTACAAAAAACAACTTTGTCTCTTCACATTTGTGTCTTTATATTAAACTAAAGAAAAAAAAATATAGGACAAAACGACGTCATTTAGCTTTTTAAAAAACAAAAATCGGGTGACCCCTTGACCTGTCCAGTTTCATTGGTTTTTAACCGGTTTATCGAGTTTTTGACTGATTCATTATTTGTCCGGTTTTGACGTAGCTCTGCACCAATTATCGCATCAGTTCCCGGTCCAATTGGTTGAACCGACCGATCTAGTCCGATTTTGATATACATGCTTGTAATATTATTATTATGTTTATTATTATTATAATACTGTGTTCAAACATTTGATTATATACAAACTTATTTTTTAAAAGTTGTCATTTAAAAATATAAAATATGTAATTTTTAAGAAAATGTTTAATAAATTAATTCTTATTTAATTAGTTCAATTATACATAAATAAATTTATAATTTTACAATTTGTAATTATTACGAATTAAATATATATTATTATTATTTTTATTATTATTACAATTAGTAATCATCTTTTCTTTATACATACATAGAATACTTATAACATTATTGTTATTGTTATAATACTGTATTCAAATATTTGATTATATATAGTTAATTATTTAAATTTTTAAAATTATCATTTAAAAATATTAAATATATAGTTTATAAAAAAATATTTAATAAATTAATTCTTATTTAATTAATTCAAAGTAATAAAAGTTTAAATTATCAATTCGTTTTAATTTTTTAAAATAAGATAAAAAAATATAACATAATAAACCATAATAAAGATAAATTATAAATAAAATAATATTAGTTGCTACTATAATTTATGTAAAATATTTAGAAAAAGATAAAGAAGAAGAAAAATTACCTTAGTGTTCATGGAATTAGTTGAAAAGATTGAAAAAAGCATATTAATTAGAAAAATTAAGAAAATGTGAAAAAGTGAAAGGTAGGAGAAAGAGAATAATGTAACAAACTAATTGATATAAAAGATTAAAAAAGACAAAAGGATTAAAAAATGTATAGAAGAAAAGTAAAAATGGTAAAATATAAAAAAATAACCTTATATATACTGAAAAAAGAAAAGAAAATACGTTAAAAATATTAATATTTTAAAATTTAAATTTAAATATAAAGTCGGGACGGGAACAGGGTGGAGATTACAGTACCTATCCTTGCCCTCGCCCCTTACTTTTTAAAGCGGGAAAAACTCAAACACACCCCCGATCAACTCAGTTGTTCCCGTCAAACTTGAGACGGGGACGGGTTGGTCCCCGCATGTGCAGGTTTAATTGTCATCCATAAAGACGAAGAAGATAATGACAAAGATGGAAAAATGGAGAGATCTTCTAATAGTGCATTTACTGATCTAAACATTGATTATTCTTATCCTACTGACTTGAATTGAAGATGTGAGAATTACTCAAGGAAAGAACAAAGTAAAATTTTATCAAATATACAAATATAATATATATATATATATATATATATATATATATATCATATATAAAACTAAAAAAATTGATTTAAAAAAATAAAAAAATATATGACGGGTCAACCCGTCCTTCCAAAGGACGGGTTAAGGTTTGTAGCTCGTCATGACTATAGCATGCCAAAGGTAGGACGGGCCAAAACGGCATAAGTTGGCTCGTTCCGCCACCCTATTTTGGTATACCTTAAAACAATATTTATATATTAAAATTAAAATAAATAAAAAATTATATTTTTATGTGTTGTTATTAATAGATATAAATATATCATAATATTATAATTTAAATTATTGATTATAATTAATTATTTTGACACATAATATTTTTTCAATTTATCTAATAAAAAATATTAATTAATAAATAATAATTCAAAAATTATTCATATAATTAAAAATATATTTTTAAAACATATACATTTAAAAAAATTTATACATAAAATAAATTATTACCAAGCTGGTCCGTTGACCTGCCCTTTAGCAAAATGAGCTAGGACTATAGGCGGACGGACCATAACAAGGTCAGTTGGCTCGTTTTGCCATTTCTAATCATCCAGATGAAAATATGATTATAAGATCGTAGGAAGGTGGCCTGAAGATGTATTGTATCCAGAAAGGACTACACTTGGTAAACCTGAAATTGATGAACTGGTAGGTTGTATGCTTCAACTACCAGCTCTATTTCTTCCTTTATCACCAGATTCTCAATTTTCTCTTCCATGAAATCTATTCCTAGGGATACTACAAAATCAGAAACCCACAAAACCCCCGCAAAGAAAATAGAAAATCCATCTTCACTTTCAAACAGAGCAGAGAAAGAAATTTATTTAAAACCGGCACATTGATCAAGAAGATGAAGTTTCAAAGAACACTTGTATATTCGTAACTGATTTAACAGCTTACCTACTGTGGGTGGAGGATGAAAAATCACGCCGAGATGGTCGAAGTCCTGATTCTGCTTGCTCTATTTCACGCTGAAGTTCTCTCTGCATATGAACGAAGAGTTAAATTTATTTTAAAAGCTCTAAGCAGAAAAATATACAACTTTTAAGGCTCCTCAACTCATGCTGCACATGTTTTACCTATGCTACTTTCTTTGATTAAGGAAAAGGAAGAAATATGCATACATACATAATCATATCATCCCCCTAAGCTGAAAAAGACAAGCAGAATGAGTCTAGAGTGTTAGAGCTGTGTGTTAAAAAACCAATTTTGGTCAGTTATATGGCTAGAATAATACTTATTAAACTTGGAGTTCTCAACCCTTGAGCTAGCTTTTGGGAGTCAATCATTTTATTGTAGTGATATATGTTGGTAAGTACCCCTCTCAGAGGAAGAGAAATGCTAGCTATGTGCGCTTTATAATTGAGTTAATGTAATGTGGGTCTCTCTGTAAATGAGGATTAGGAATAATCAAGCAACTCTACATATATCTTGAAATTATTCCAAGGAAATACTGAGCACATTGAGATTCTTCTGCCACCGAACTGGTGATTCAGTGGTTAAGACCAGATAAATTGTAGCAGCATTTACATTCTAATGACTAATTAGCACATATATTTACTAAACTACATGCCAGCTTGAATAATGGTCTCTAGAATATTAAGTTTAGAAAGTCTTAACGTGCTGGCTAGTACTAGTAACTGGTAATACTATACTATTACTTAAAATAACATTGTTAAAATAATTGTATGAAAAATCAGTATCAGTATTATAACTACTTTACAACGTATTTCACCATAACAATCCCTGCTTTTGGTGTGATTACCTGTGTTTGCTTCTCCTTCTCCATATCAAGATTGTGACGCAGTTCCTTTGTTTTAGCACGTTCTAATTCTAGTAATCTTTGTCTTTCCAGCTCTTTTTCCATTTCAGCTGTTCTCTCCCTATTGAATAGTTATAAAAACCCTCAGCTTCCAGTAAAAGAATCAAAACAATATATACCAAGTACCAAAATCCTCAATAAAATCTAATACCTATCAAGTTCTTGCAGAAGTTCAGCTTCCCGCAATGCTGCTTCTTCCAAATGTTTTTGAAGGTCATGTCTCATAAGTAGTTTCTTTTGCCTACGGGCTATGATATCTTCTTTAAGTTTGGACTTTTCTCTGATAACATTATAATAACCAGTTTCAAACACTTTGCCACATTCCTCCGTAGCATAAATGATTAAGATTTCAAAAAAGATAAAGACTAAAAGAAAAGGTCACATTTAACACACACCAGACTAGGCTGACAACGATTACAACTGATCAAAAAATAGTTAAAGGCATGCATCCTTCGGAACCAAACCATCAAGAAGAAAACATTTCAACAGGGAGATTTGTAGAATAGCTCATACTTAAAAGTATGAAAACCCTCTGAATCAAGCATTGCAATAAGAAAATACTTCAAATATATAAGTAAAACAAAATCAGGTCTTATTATCACTTACACAGAACGAATATGCTCTCTGATTTGCTGAAGCCTTGAGACATCCTTTTTGTTTGCTGTAAAGTTCAAAGTTATAAATCAAATTTGAAGCAGGGTGAATATTTTCAGCATCAATAACAGTGATTACAAGAATCAACATGCGCTACTAGAATCGACAAAAAACAAGTGCACAAAGATTTCTGTTTCAATTGATTACAAGAATTAACACGTGATACTAGACCATAATGTACTTACAGGGTAGACCAGGAATCTGATTCCAATCATTGGAATCCTCCATTCGTCCTGGTAATGCATGTTCCTTCTGTATAATGTCTAGCTCCAACTCAGCCTCCTCAAGCTCCTACAAAATACTCAACGATATGTAACTAATCATAAAAATAACTGCTAGAATCCTATATATATATATATGGTACTAGGACCAATTGATGATATTAAGATCAATTAGATTGACTCTAAATTTATCTTATCAAAACCTAAAACAGGAAAACTAAATATTCTGGCATTATTATTCTCCTCTATTAATTGAATAGTTCTGTTGTTGTCTAAACAGAATCAAATTCATCGTATCTTTTTGGTTTTTCTCTTCTCAACATGGTATTAAAAACCTAACAAGAGGAAAACCCTCATCAGTGTTTTCCCTTGTGGGCCCATTACTCATAGGTATAATTTTTTTAAGTATGTATCCCGGTTTCTATTTTTCGTCAATGTTCACACTTTGGCTGTTTGAGACATTATTTGACTGTTTTTCTCTCTCTTCTAGAATGATCTCTCACCTCTCGCAGCCGAGTGGCTACCTCTAAGTCAAACATTCAAACTTTACCAACCACATCACTACACCAATCACTTCTGAGTTGTTGGATGGTAAGAACTGATCTTAACTTCTCACATTGAACTTTGGCTTGTTGAACAAGGTTATGAGGCACATCTCACCAAACATAAGTTGTAGTCCCAAAGGCAGACCACCCTATGTGGAAGAAGGTTGAGGCTCAGTTGTGTTGTATCCTCTGCACCACCATTCATCAATCTCTGCATGATGTCCTCCACACTTACAAAACTTGTCGAACGGTGTCGATTCAAGCCAAACAACTCTTTACAACCTAGAGATAGTGGATGTGAGATTAAGGATTCTATGATGACTTATCTAGGTCTCTCTAGACATTTTTGTAACTTTGATGAATTGTTTCCTTTCAATGTCACTCTTGAGGTAGAACTTGAAAGCCATGGACTGCAACATTTATATGGTTTACCCGTCGGCAATTTGTTATATTCGTGATTAGATCCAGAATACCCCCATAGAAATTGTTACAAAATACTATTTGATTTATGGGATTTTTCCTAATTGTTCAAATCTATACAGATTACAAATTTATTAATTTATTCTTTCTTAAAATACTATTTGATTTCCCACACACTATTATGAAGAGTATTATCAATGGTTAAAAGGAGACCCAAGGACATAAAGAACATTATCAATAATTAAAGAAGGGAAAAGTTTAACAGTTCCAATACCGTGAGATGATACTCTAGAGCCATCAGTCAACGTAACAGAGGGTAAAGAATTAGGAGAGGATAAAGAGGAGAACAAAGATTTGCTACCAGTAATATGATCAGTGGGTCCTGAATCAAAAACCCAAGGACCAGGAGAAGAAGATTGGGTCAGACCAGCAAAAGATGTACCTGTGTGTGCGATAGACACAGTGGAACTAGAAGATTGTTGATCTTTATACCATTTGAGAAATTTATTGAACATAGTAGGTGTGTCGGATAAAACAGAAGAAGCAGAAGCACTCATGCAAAGAGGTAAAACAAACCCTAAAAAAAGATCCAAAGCAGTCCAATCAACCCACGAAGCACAAATCCAAAAACGAGAAAACCAAAACACGTTTGTCGAGACTAAATGACGCTGGAGACAACGAAGTTAGGGTTGGTGATCTGCAAAATCACAACACTGCAATGCGTTGTGTGCAGCACGAGGTGGTGTGAGAAGTGGTAACGAGGTAGTCTAGGTTTTTAAAGGACTGGCGATGGCTCCGGCAGCAGTGGACAAAGGCGAAAAAATTTCAAAATAACCTTAAGTTCTAGATACTATGTTGAATATAGAGAAAATAGGGTTTGAGATTATCTCCCTTGTGTATAAACTACACATAGGATAATCTATTTATAATAGAGAGAAGTGCAATAAAAAAGAGTAACTAAAAAATAATTAGAGTAAATAGAAGATATTATTTGATATTGTGATTAACAATATCTAACAATATCAAACAATATCTAAGAGAGTCCATGCCTCCCCTCATGGCCTTGTTGAAACCTCTGCTTTAGTCTCTCGCAATAACAATAAAACTCTATTGCAACTGTGTTTGTGAACTGTTTTCCATAGTGACAAAAGGTAAATAACGAAGAATAGAAAGAGATGAAAAATAATTAGAATAAATAGAAAATATTGTTTGATATTGTGATTAACAATATCAAACAATATCTAACAGAGTCCATGCCTCCCCTCATGGCCTTGTTGAAACTTCTGCTTTAGTCTCTCGCAATAACAATAAAACTCTGTTGCAACTGTGTTTGTGAACTGTTTTCCATAGTGACAAAAGGTAAATAACAAAGAATAGAAAGAGATGAAAAATAATTAGAGTAAATAGAAGGTATTGTTTGATATTGTGATTAACAATATCAAACAATATCTAACAGAGTCCATGCCTCCCCTCATGGCCTTGTTGAAACTTCTGCTTTAGTCTCTCGCAATAACAATAAAACTCTGTTGCAACTGTGTTTGTGTACTGTTTTCCATAGTGACAAAAGGTAAATAACGAAGAATAGAAAGAGATGAAAAAATATATTTATTTCATATGATCAATGACCCTAGAATTAAAGATCGCAGGGTCTAAAGAGGGAGAGACTACATACCTCCCTTGCAAATCTTAAGCGTTCTACTCATCCTATAATATTGTCGTCAAAATTCAACAATGCACAAACTCACCTTTGGGGCCATCTTCTTTGACCTTTTAAGTTTGAAATTCTTATTGCTATTCGAAAAAGTATATGTTGAACTTGTAATCCTTCTCATTATTTCTCGTCTCTACTTTTTCTTCTTTCTTCCTTATTTTTTTATTCTATTCCTAAGAAAGCAAGTAAGGCTTTTGCTCATCCAGGATGAAAACAAGCTATGACAACCGAGATGTGGGTATTACAAAGCAGTGAGACTTGGAATCTTATTCCTCAATTGCTAGGAATATGTTGTTGGTTGCCAACGATGTTAAGGTCAAGGTCAGTCTAGACAACAATGTTAATCGTCTTAAGGCTTGTCTCGTAGGAAGAGACTTCACTCAAATCTATGGTTTGAATTATGGAGAAACTTTTTCTTTGATTGCTAAAATGCCTTCTCTGCAACTATTTCTATCCATTGTTGCCATTTGTCATCGATCGATTTATTAGTTGGACATAAAAGAATGTCTTCCTACATGGTAATTTGCTTGAGAAAGTCTACATGGAACAACCTCCTTGTTTTGATGCTTATGGGAGAGTCTTTTGATCTTGTATATCTGTAATAAATTCTTTCTATGGCCCCATGCAATCACCATGAGCATGATTCATTAAACTTAGTACTGGATTGTGTTTAGTATGATTCAAAGTGAGGCTGACCATTTAGTCTTCTATCTTCTTCACTTACTGGTTGCCTCTATCTAGTTGTTTATGTTGATGACAATGTCATCAAATGTGGTGATCATCTCAATATCTCATAGGTAACGCAATATCTTTTCAAGCATTTTCAAACAAAAGATTTTGGCAAACTAAAATATTCCTTCGGGTAGCATAGTCCAAAAATGGGATCCTAATATCCAACAAAAATAAAGAATGGATATTATTCTAGAAGAAACAGGAATGTCAAATTTCAAGATAGTCGACACCCCAACTGATCCCAATGTTAGACACACACTAAACACTAACAAAAACAGGAAAAAAAAAAAGAAAAGAAAAAAGAACAAGAGATATGGATACTAAATTTGAAAGTTTATATTTCACACACTTCTCTATCACAATACATCATTACAATTATAATACCATTTTCGTTAAAAGCCCATTAGCTACATATCTACCATACAACACTCATTGAATTATTTATAACACCCAATGTAAGACTACTACCAAATATTTGTGAGCCACTTGCAAATTCTTAAAGGTACAAACAATTGGTAGGAAGTTTAGACTACGGTACTATCATCCGTATGGATATCAAATTCACAGTAAGTGTAGGAAGTTCCTCAACTCTCCATGTAACGAACATTGGGACACAACAACTCACATTGTTTGATACATAAAAGGAGTCCCCAAATAAGGTCATTTATATGAAGTAAAAGGAAACACTTGAGTTGTGGGTTATTTTAATGAAGACTGTGCAGACTACCCCATTGATAGAAGATCCACCTCTACTTATGTGTATTTGTCAGAGATAACCTTGCCTTTTGATAGTTCAAATGCAAATGTATCGAGCTATGGCTATAGATAGTTCGGAACTTACATGGTTCAATTAGTTGCTTCAGGAACTAAAGTTTACTGAGTTTACACAATTATCGCTTGATATGATAATGAGGCCCCTATGCAGATTGTCTCAAATCCATTATTGCATAAAAGGACGAGGTAGATGAAGGTTGATGGTCAATTTGTCAAAGAGAAAGTCATCTACTAGCTTTGTTAGTTTCCATGATCAACTAGCAAATATATTTACGAAGTCCCTGAGATCCTTGGATTAACCACATATGTAACAACCTTTGTGCATAAAACCTATGTGCTCCATCTTGCGCGAGACTGTTAAAATCTTTTAGATATGTTAGAATCCTCTAGATATGATACTAGGATCTATTGATGATATTAGGATTGATTAGATTGATTCTATATTTACTTTATTAGCCTAAAATAGGGAAACAAAACATTCTGTAATTATACTCTCTCCTCTATAAATTGAATAGATCCATTGTGATCTAAACACGCGACATTCATCATATACCTTGGTTTCTCTCTTCTCAACAATAAGAAATGCATTTAGTTGATGATCACACATACCATATCATCTTGCTCGATTTTCTGTGAGAATAAATCAAAGTATGAGTTCACTGCTGTTAAGTTGCCAAGGACCTGTTGCAAAAAAATATATTAAGAAAATATGACATATTAACTATGTAAACAACAGAAATGCAAATTTAATTGTACATCAAAGTTTACAAAAATTTCAATCTGTTGTTGAATTTTTAAAGAATAAGATTACTAATATATGCAGGCAAATATATATTATTGTGTGTTGCATGTTTCTTACACACGAGTCTTTTTTAATATCATTATGCATACAAATAAAGCAAACCCCTAAATTGTGGGAACCGCATCCCTAATTTCTAATAACAGGCATATTTAACGTGTGTTAAATATGCTATCTAATACATCAAAATCAGCACAAAGAAAAGTAATTTTCGTTTATTCACTTGGAGACCACAAAATGGGGTAGGACTAAATCTTACATGCCAATAAAATTATCAGCAGCAATAAACAATTACAAGTTGCATGAATAAAAAGTCATTGACTGATGCAAACAAAATAGCACTTTCCTGAAAATTGAAAAGACGATATGGTTTTTTAAGTATATTATATTCATACCTCAAGAATAGATTCTCGTGTATTAGCAAAGTCTTGGTCATACTGCTTTGAAGAATTCGAAGAAAGTACTTCTTTCAGGACCTGACATAAAGGCAAAATTTAGAAATTCATTATGGGATAAGATAAAACAAAATACAAAATTATGCTTTGGACAGGGAAAGGATATAATGATATTTGTTTAACTGGCCTGAATGGCTTGTTTCAATCTAGAAGATACCTCTTTGGCCTCATCTCCTTCATCCCTCAATTTACACAGGACTTGGCATGTCCTCTTTTCAAGGTCTCCAAGCTTGCCAACTAGAAAAGTCAAAAGATGTATAACGTTATCCAAAATTCTAATATTCCCATTTAATATGAATATAGAAGCGATTAATATCAATACCATGTTTTGTAGACCCCAAGGTTTCAACATTTTCCCATAAATTGTGAGGAATTAAAGAAATATCTTCAGCTGGTGAGTACAAGCAGGCATAACCAATAAGAACTAATGAAAGTTGCAGGATAGGACTATCTTGAGACGGTTGTGCATTACACAAACAACAAATGCTATCAGCTGCCACAAGAAAAGCTTGCAAGTGATGGCGCTCAGCAAATGGTATGTAATTTGAAAGAAGTGCCATTGCATGAACCCTCAATTGTAATGACAATTCAGATGAGGCCAGTACAACAACTTCATCCCAAGTACTAGAAACCAGACGAGATAGAACATAATCAGGAATGGATAGAACTGACTTATTTGGAATTAAGTCTGAGCAAATTTTAGAATTCATCGCAGCTCTTTCTCCATTCGTACACTGGGCAACAAGTATTCCCAAATGCTTCACTGCTATAATACGTTGCTCAGGCTCGGCATGGGCCAGCAGTGTACAAAATAGATCTACAAGAGGAACTTCACTTTCTTGACTGTTATAGACACCTCTAGCAATTAAAGAAGTTAACCACTTATCACTCCGCAAACGCAAAGAAATTTTTGGTGCACTGCAAGAAACATTCTTTATTGTGGAACATATCATACCTACCACACCATCCAGGGAAAAGCTATACGGTACTCCAAGTAAACAATCAAGAATCACGCAAGAAACTTCCCAGGAACTGCTTTCTTGAAGCATAACAATCAATTCACAAAGGCCTTGAAGACCTATTCTCCAATGAGGCATGACCATGTCAGATGATTTAGTTGGTGAAGAATTTTGATCAGCTTCAGCTTTATGAAACTTTTGAGAAACTGATATCAAACTTTTTGAAAAGACAAAGCATTCGGCTGATGCTATTGATAATTTTCTACTTATCTGATGATGAAGATTCCAACTGCGCTCAATAGCTGGATTAAGCCCCAAAATGAGACCCTCTATGTCCTTAGCCAATCCTTCTAAATAATAAGAAGCTACATCACAATGACCAACATCAGCTATAGAGTTGTTGCTCCCTACTTTATGAACATCATCCTCACAAACAATGCAACAGACATCACTAAGAAACCATGAATTTGGTTTTATGTTATCTTCCGAAAGTCCATCTCCACTGGCATGAGGATAAGAGGGCAGCTGAAGAGGAATTATACCAAATTCTGTTAATGCATTCACTAATAGTAATCTGCAATTGTCCATAACACATTGAAATGCACTGAGATAATCAAAGAAAGAAGTTGTTGGGGCAAAAGCAGCAAAGTTTGCCAGATTCAATAAGGACTGCAAAAACTCCCTCCTATATCGGATAGATAAATCAGAAAACATCGATGCCAAAATAAAAATAGCCATTGCTGTATTGAATCCTTTATCTTCAGAACTATGCTCGACCTCACTCTTTTGTTTTAATTTCAAGAGAAGGGTGTTAAAGCACAACTCCTCAAAGTTCAGACAAGAATCACCATCCAACAACTTTTCATCATGACAAATCTTGGACAAAGAATAAGAAATGATAGGCTTCAACAAACGCAAAACAGAATCAAGAAAGGATACATCACAGTATGTAGAACTTGAGAGTGACACAAGCACTTGAACTAGTTTGGGAGCTTCAGGAACCATAGCTTCCATGTGTTCAACTATAATAGCTTCAAGTATATAAAGGATTATCGCTCTAGCATTCTTTGCAGTATAACCTTTCAAATGATCACTTCCAATTGAAGAAACAAAAGAAAATGGCCATAAACACAAGTCAGAAAACCAACACAAAACATCAGGCACCAGAGTGGAAGAGACAGATCTCAGCTGCAAACCAACAGCTTCTAAAATAGTTTCTCCAAAGAATTTAAATTGCCTTTTCATATTGGGAAAGAACTTCCAGAGCTCCGGATATATTGCACAAAAAGACCGCTCCTCATCACGCTGATTACCATGCTCAAATTCTCTTTTAGCAGAAGAACTGTGTTCAACCCCTGAATCTTCAATTTTTACCTCTTCATTCTTTTTACTGACAACTTCATCCACAACAGCTAGGTCATCAGCAAAAATGGAAAGTAAATATGTCAGCTGAGACAAATCAAATGCAAGGAAAATGTGGTCCTTCATATACTGTTTTGCATTACGAGATATTGCCATCCAGCCAAGATATCGAACCAAAGGGTATACAGAACCAGAAAAATCAGAAATTCTCTGCATCCATGCTGAAGAAGGAATTAAATTTCCACACAAGTAATTATTTTGTACATTAGTTCCAAAATTTTCCTTTTCACCTCCACCACTTGCAGCAATTACCAATCTCTGTAGCAGTAACCATCGTCGCTCTACCCCTTGCATTCTTTCCTTTGTAATATGCAAACTACTTTCCTTCAGCTGCTGATGAAAAGATGACAACAACTTGTTGAAGTCTTCAGCATATTTTAAAATGATGTCAATCACATGTTCTGGAGGACAATATAACTTGGTGCCTGTATGCAAAAAGTACACAAGACTCTGCAGGAGAATTTCATGCATTGAGATTTGGTCTCCCTGCAACCGTTGGATCAAAAAGTTACACAGCAGGGCTTGGTTTTGTCGCACCAAAGTTAGAGCATCAGCATACTGTACATCAAGGGGAGACAGCTTTATAACCTGTTCATCAAAACCTTCAGCAGAATAAGGACCAATTTCTCCATTAGATACTCTTAAATGATATTTCCTGTCCAATTCTGCAGCCTCAAGCAGTATGTGAAAAACGAGTTGATCTCTTTTTCTTTCTATTCGAGCGATTGTTTCTGAATTAGGTTCATTCTTTCCGGAAGTCCTTTTCACCTTAACTTTATCATGAGGCTGCACCGTTTTACTTTCATTGAAGTTTAAAAAGCCTGTAAGTTTTGATGAGGATCCAATAGACAACATAAAATAAGGATTTACATGGCATTCTGCTGCTAACAACAGAGCATCAATTGCAGCGTCATGGCTTTCAATAGTCACATCACTCTTAGAATGTAAATCTAAAGCCAAGCGTCTAAACTCAGAAGCACGAAGTTCACAATCATGGTAGTTCAGAAGTTGAAAATAATCTGCATGTAGGTCGAAGTATTCAAAACCAAGGCCAGCATCCAAGATATTAGTAGATAAATGACGGGTGGAGTGTTTCTCAGCCAGGTTTTTCGATTCCAAGCTCATATCCCCAATGCTAGAAACAGAGCTATTTTGATTAATGACATTAGAGAAATTTGTCAATGTCATACTCTGCAATTCTGGTGGGGAAAACAGTAGATTACGATCTTCGGCAGAATCAGATTTTCCTGCTGTTTCTGAAACATCCGTTTTTCCATCAGAATCATCTGGACCATTTGACTTGGAAAAAGCACCTCCACCATTAGTGCCAGAGGAAAGAGGTGAAATAGATACACTTTCATGATCAATTGGTCGTAAAACTGACTTGCAAAGGTCAACATCAGATGGCAATAACATGTGTGGTTCCAATATTGAGAGAAGCACGCTGCAGATAAAAAGTAAATGTGTGAAAGGAGAAATCCGCTTATTTTCTAACTATTTTTTATTATTAAACTAGGTACATCCATGGAAGTGGACAAGAAACTTGTAACGTTAGTAAGTCATTATTAAAAATGAACTATACAGATCCAAATGCCTTTTATTTGGGCATTTATTATTTTATCTACATTATTATTAGTTCTCTATCTATATGTGTGTGTGTGTATATATATATAACTCTGTTAGATATTTTAAATATTTGGTATAACTTGCAGTGAGACAGATCATTCACTATTTTATCGTCACTCAAGTGTGGTATGTATCTGTTTAATAATATATGTTGATGATATTGTTTTTACAGGGAGTGATCACCATGGCATCTCCTACATGAAGCAACACCTTTGTCACCATTTTCAAACCAAGGATCTTGCCAAACTTAGATATTTTTTGGGGATTGAGGTAGCACAATCCAATAATGGATTGGATATTTTAGAAGAAACTAGGTTGATGAACTCAAAATCTATTGACACACCCATGGATCCCAATACCAAACTCCTACCTAATCAGGGAGAGTCTTTCTCAGATCCTGAGAAGTACAAAAGATTAATTGGAAAATATCTTACTGTTACTTGTCTTGGCATTTCCTTTGCAATTAGTATGGTGAGTCAATTTCTTAATTCCCTATGTACAGTTCATTTGAATGCAATTATCTGTATATTAAGGTACATTAAAGGATCTCATGGAAAAGATTTGTTTTATGATCACAATAACCAAGCTAAAGTTGTCTGTTATTCAGATATTGATTGGGCAGCATCTCCTTCTGATAGAAGATCTACTTTCGAGTATTTTCTTTCTACTGGAAGTAACTTGATCTCTTGCAAGAGCAAGAAACAAAGTGTTGTGGCAAAATCTAGTGTAGAAGCAGAATATAGAGCTATGACCTCAGCTACTTGTGAACTTATTTGACTTAAACAATTACTTAAAAGAGTTGCAAGTTGGAGATGCCACTCAAATGACACTTATATGTGACAATGCGGCTACTCTTCATATTAGCTCTAATTCTGTCTTTCATGAAAGGACCAAACACATTGAAGTTGACTGTCATTTTATTCGAGAAAAGATTGTATCTGGAGACATTAAAACCAAGTTTGTTAACTCAAGTGAACAGTTAGCAGATATTTTCACTAAGTCTTAAGGGGACTTAGAATTGATTATATTTGTAACAAGCTTGGTACATATGATTTATATGCATTGGCTTGAGGGGGAAGTGTTAGATATTTTAGATATTATTAGTCACAATATATGTATTTACTATATTTACTTGTATGACTCTTAATTATAAATATATTACCCTATGTGTATTTTAGACATAAGGGAAATTAACTCTATACCTAATTTTTCACTATATTCAACAAATTCTAAGTTGCAACATGTGTACCCATACAATAGATAAAATATTTACTTTTGGTTTATATTTCATCTAAATAGATGTAAAAGATAAGCAACAAGGTAAATTTTCTCTACAAAATATCAACTAAATTTTCAACAATACAAAGCAGAAGGGACACAGCCACAACGATACAGTACCTAGGAGCCACAGATCCAAGCCTCCATTCTGATTCCAAAGAAGGCAATACAGCTGGCTTTTGTACGGCGGTACGGATGATATTTAGAGCAATTGTACAATTATGTTCCTGCTTTTCTGGAAATGAAGAAGCTAAATCACCAAATGCTATTTTGCTTTTTGATACAGCAATGGCAGGATCAAGAAAAGGTTCCAGCATCTCCAGAAGAAAGAGGATTTTGTGTTTGACTTCCTGGAAAAGGCATATTAAATAGTTTTTAACATTATTTGGCTAACCTTTTTTAGTTTGTTAAGAAAAATGAAAAGTAACATCTTCACATATAAAGAGCTCAATCATTCATCACCTGTAAATCAACAAGGACATAGTGTAAAGATAATGAAATAAAAGAAGACACACTTATTTACCGAATAGATGTTTATACTGCTAACAACTCTCTGTTAGTTTACAAAGAAGTGAGGAGAGAGACAGAAATGATGTGACAATTTTTAATTCTCATTGCATTTAGAATTCTGTTACAAAAAGCATTATAAAGCTACAGGTAACTGAAACAGTTACAGCAAGCCTCACAAACCAGCGGCTGGACTGAACTAACTGGAAACTAACTCAGTACAATATTCACACCAAATGATAGTTTGGCTAAGGAATCACATTTGGGGTTAAATTATGTAATGAAATCACATCCACGTATCAGATATAATCCCCTACATTATTATTACACATCAAATTTTCAGGTGCAGTTTCGCGTGATGGAATGAACTATCATTATACAATGTTATATGAAATTATTTTTGTTTAAGGCTCTAACAATTCTGTTCCACCAATTTATGAAATCCCACTTACGCAAAATGGGTAGGACACATTTTCCCTACATTTTGTAAAATATTATCCAATTTATTTTTTTTAAGTGGGATGTCAAAATGGATCCAGCCCAAAAAGTTCAAAAATGGGTTAAGTCAAACTAAAAAATTTGTGGCCTAAATTAAATTCCCCGAATTTGAGCCAACTCATTTAGCTTAGGCCAAGCCAGGTCTTTGTGATAGCACAGATAATTTATTTATATTGAAAAAAAAAATCAATACAATAAACTGAGGGAAGATTTTATATCCTTTAATAATAGAGATATAATCTTCATATTTTCAACATGCTAAAGATATGATCTTGATATTTGTAATAATAAAGATATGATTAGTATTTCTCTAATTATAACAACAACAAATAAAAAGAATCAAAATTTATTTTATTTTGTGGTCTACAATTTAATTTATGCTAATGAAATATAATTTTACAACAAGGTAAAACCTTTACATACTATTTTACGATCAGCTATACTCCAACTTTAAATAGATAAAAGAAAAAAGTTAAAGAAGTACCCTAATAGAGATGAGTACATTAAGATGGATGTATAACCACACAAGAAATGATAGGATATAATAAAGGAGAAGATATTGTAATGACATCTATATAGGAAAAGGTAAACAGAAAATTCAGCCAAGGTGTGGGCATGTGCAAAGAAGGCATTAGAGGGATTGGTGAGGAGAGATAGCATTTTTTTATCCTTGTGAAGTGGGGGCAAAAGGAGATATAGAACATTGAAGGAAATTATTACAAGGGATGTCAGATGAATAATATCCGTAAGCATGGGATTTATATCAAGCCCACTGGCATGTAATTCAAGTAGTTAGCATTATCTAGTGGGATAAGGCTATTTGTTGTAGTAAAGTGGATACTAGCATTCACCAAACTTCAAATCCAAAGGGATCTTGCAAGAGGTAGTTTGTTGAGTTAATAATAATAATAATAATAATAATAATAATAATAATAATAATAATAATAATAATGTAATATAATACCTTAAATAACATTATGGTCCCTAGACAAAACCCTTTTCTTAATTTTTGTTCCTTAATGATAAGAGTTTGTAAACAAAACCCTAAACAAAAAAAAAATGTTTTAAACACAGTTTTGGCTATCATCTCACATTATGACACCTTCCGATGGATAACATATTCTAAAATGACTTGTCACGTAAATTTTTTTATACATTTTCTCATTATGGTGGCTCCAAATATATAACACATTTTTCATTCTGGTTCCTATAGGGGAAACAAAATAACAAGTTCTCATACACAAAAATCATTGTCCACATTCAAAACACCTTCTTAATGCTTCAAACCAAACATCATAGAAGATCCTTTCCCTTCTCCCATTTTCATTACTAGGGTTGTCGCATTTGCATACAATCAAATCCTTAACGAAATTCCTATTTAAATACATAGTTTAGCCCAACCCACATAAGAAACTTCAAAGGTAATGAAATGGTTCATACCCTTGCAATGGGAGAAAAATAAAAGTGACGGACCCCAATCACTAAGTTTATGCAAGGCATACTTAGAAAGGTCCACAAGTTAACCTGTAGGTAGGTAGTCTCCTATCAACCAAACACTTAAAGGGAGGAAAAAAATACAAAATTGGGAGATACATGAAGCTCTTGAACTTTCAGGTATGTTCAACTTTACTCTGTTTTCCCTATTTGAGGACATAGTGTACCAAAGAAACAGAGTTGTTCTAGTTGAGATAATCTTTTCACATTAAGTTTTATTAATGGGAATCAGATCCCCATCCAGGAACTTGTGGGTACCACAAAAGGGAATGAAAATGGAGAGCCATAGGGGGTGATAGGTGTGAACACGTAATTTTGTACAACTATTAAGTGTACAGAAGGATCTAAAAATATAATAGTAATAATAAAAAACTAATATATCTATTATCAAAGAAATTATCACAAAGAATCATTAGTTTTAATATTTTCTAGTTTGTCTGACTTGTTTCCACATTTACTTGAGATTATTTATTAACATTTTACATTTTCTAATATATTATTCATTTACCTAGGATTATTACCTATTTTTCTGTTTTTAATAATTTGCAACTTATTTATTCATTTACCTAGAATGGTTTTGTGAATCGTGTCCACATTTACCGAATTATTATGTGACTGTTTCCTTTCTTAGTGTAGTATTAATAGGGGTAGAGGTTTCAAGAAAAGGGGAAGATGAAGAAAACAAAGTGGAAGGACAAATCCCAAAATAGTCATTCAGAATGTGCTTCTTCATATATACAGCACATTAATATGGCACCGAAACTTCCAATCTGTTGGCTCATGCATAATATCAATAAGACGAGAAGAAGGGAGAGAGGAAAAGGTAAATAATTCTTACTCTCATTCGGAGCAACTTAAGTACCTTATATTTTCCAAGTATGTCATCCATATGCCCAGACAAAGCTAGCACAATATATTTCAAGGCAGCACGAGCACGAACAAGTGAATTGTGCGCATCCTGACAGACATGATAGTTTCTTAATTTGAAACCATAACAAGAAGCTCTGTGGTACAGAATAACAAGAAACCAGATAACGATGGAGTATTGAACAGACTTTCTAGCATTGCTACCTAAAATCATTCAACAAATGCACAGTGCAAAAGGTCATGTACTAATAGCGACGACGTGTAGAAAGAAATGTGTACAATGCAAGAGATGTGTAAGTGCAAATATGGAGGTTCACAAATATTACTTATCATCAGAAAACAGTGTTTTCCAATATGCTGAGCAGAAATAATTATCAGTGATGACGATATACATGAATTAAGCAAGAAAGACAAACATACTTGTATTATGCCCAAAAGATCCTCCAAAAGCTCCAGTGCAAGATCAACCTGTGCAAAAAGAGCCGCATAGACGAGCAATCAAAACCATTGCTCACAAAAATTAATATTTTAACTTCTTGTAACACCATTTAAGATGATTAGCAAATTTTAGTGCAATAATCGATAACACTTACCTTAACCAAAACGCTGAAAAATGTACTCCCTCTATTTTAAAATATATAATATTTTGATGAGAATTTATTTTTTCCTAAATATAAGGTGTTTTGCAAAGTTTAAGATTACATTAATTACCTTTTTACCAATGATACCCTTGTCTTTTTAATTATATTTATTGCAAAGAGAGAAGATAATGCAAAGAGAGAATATAACAAGTTATTAAGGATATAAATGAAAAAAAAAATAACAAACTTATTGAAAATAATGAAAATTAATACTTATCTTGGTCTTTCAACCTTATCCGTCATATATTTTGAAACAGACAGAATATTTCATAAAGAAAAATTAACAATTAATGTAAGAACAGATGTGCTGATTGTGAGCATGAACCAGAGCATGAAATTTAAACAGAATGAGGACAGACCAAACATCAACACCAGTTTTTGGTATTATCATAATGGTAATTATGAAGATAAAAATACAATATTGGATCAAAATAATGGATAATACAAAATAGATTGCTCATAATATCACAAGAAACAACGAATAAGGTTCAAGCTTACCTTTGCAATCACGTGAGTCATCCATGGTGCCAGCACACCAGAACAGAGATCAATCAGTACACATGCAGCCCTAGCCTAGACAAAAGAAAAGATCCAATCAGCTGATGACGCTAAAGAGATCAAATTATTTCATGTAGAACCCAAAATTCAATGTAGGTTTAATTACACTTTTAATTTGTTGATATTACAACGGGTTTGCAAAGCACTTCCATCTATTTTATAAGTTTATACTAGCAATATCCACAATCTATCTATCTATCTATAAATGATACTATGATACAGAGTTCCAAGCAACAATTTAAATTTTTACAAGTGTCATTACCATGTGTAATGACTACTCCAATACTCTTTTAATATTCTTTCTGTTTTGTGAAAGATTTTACTATTCTATTTGCCAGTTAATAACATTTTATTAATAAATAATTACAAATTTATTTATCCTTTATATCCCATGGGCAATTTTCTGGTTTGCTCAATAGGTGCTTTGTAGTTCCTCTTTACCATGGGAGTCACCTTCCAATTGTCCGTCGATCATAGTTATTGATATGTTTCTCTTTCTTTCTATCTCCATCTCTTTCTTTTAAGTTCTTTGAAATTTTATTTTTCTCCAACCATGATTTCTACTTCTCACAGGAGTCTTCTCCTTCTCTCATTTGACAGGTAATAATCTGCCATATACCTAAGGCCAAGATCAAGTAAGGAGTTGAGAAAGAGTTATTTTTGGGTATCAACAGTCAGCCAAGAGAATTGTTTACATACATGGACTGCTATATTGAGAATTTCAATTTCTTCCATATGTGGTTCTTGCAGAGTCCTGCTGCTATCTCGCTGTGAAGTATATAGCTTGGACATTTTGGTTTTAAAAAAAAAATATCATTAAAAGAAACTTAATAAGTTAAAGGGATTGTGCATCTTTACTATACTATATTTTCTTTTTTCATTTGTTGATTTTGTAGGTTTTGTTCTTTGATATAATTTTCTTATCGCCATGTTACGGATTTGTTTTTCTTTTATCAATAGAAACTTAATCCAACCTATAGTAAACTGTTTCTGAATTATAGTAAAGCGTTTCTACATCAAAATATAAGAGAATAAAAAAAGTAAATTGTCCACAAAAAGATACAATACAATTAAACCGCTCAAAAATCAATGAGAAGGACATACACATACTATACATGGAAAAAACAACACTCTGGTTTTATAATAAGAAATAATTGGTTGACTAACATGAGATGGTGAGTACGATGACAGATAACCAGCACAAGCGTGAACAAGTGATTGATATGTCACTGATATTGCTGAAGCAACAATCTGCACACATAATCAAGAGAAGAAAGCTTAAGATGCCACATAGTACAGAACATAAACATCTAGACACTTGGGTCTGCAAATGCGTTTGGAATATAACCTGAGATAAAGCTTGTTGTACAATAGGTTGCTTCCACTGCGAAAATGTATCATCAACAACATCGAAAGAATTGCTCACCCATGGACGCAGAGCTACAAAAACAGCAAGTGGAACCCAAACATTGAACAAAGCAGTTCTTCAAAAGCAATTGTAACAAAACTATTGCAAACATTTTTATATAAAATCTAAAACAAATGTGATTTGATGTCAAAATGTAAAATAACTAGATGTTTATGCTCCTGAACAACTAATTTAGGGATATGCAACTTTCATCTATGCTAAGAACTAACATAAAAATATCTCTCTTAAATGATAACTTCGAAACAAAATGTGAAACATCAGAAATTGATGTGGGCGTGTCATTGACTTACAAAACTGCAAATATAATCTAGGGTTTAGAATGGATATACCAGTTTATCAATATACAAACAATAATCTAGGGCTCCTCATTCCCCCATCCATCTTTTACCTGTTCTCTAAATTACAATGCCACTACTCTATGCTAGGCATTCTTGTTTTAAATTGTTTTAATAAAATCACAAGAAGAGCAGAGGTTGACCAGAGTAAAGAGAAAGTAAGATGTTGCATAGGAGCAAAACAGAAGCAAGATGGAGGCACAGGTGCTCTACAACCAAACCCGTAAGAAAAAGATAAGAAACACAGAGTCAACAGCTCCTCCGAAAAGCAAACACTCCACTGCGATTGCAAACTATTGTGCATGATTGATAATTATGGATCAAATAAGACAAGGATCAATGAACTCTCTAATAATAGTTGGAGATTGACATGTCCAGAACATAGTCAGATTTGACACAGCTACATATTCACACCAATGGATGTTGAAAGTTGGAGATAGTTGAGAGAACATGGCATGCTATGATTAGAACAAATGGGGCAATGTGTCAGGAAGAGCTGCAAGCCCGAAATATCATTCACTGGAAAAGACCCGGAGCAGATTAATGATATGACAGTTGACTGAAGCCAAAAGAGGATCCAAACAACCATGCAACATGACAGGTAGCAAATAATTAACCGAAATGTAACAAGACCTTTTTTTTTTCAATAGAAGTTGTGCAAAGGCATGTACAAGACTACATCACATATAGTTTGACAGCTAATCGTACATCAAGTTTGCAGCATAGTAAAATAAGGTATTTGTTAGAAATCTGACATCAACTAAAAATATTGCTAAATTGTGGTATATGAATGAGGTGTAAATATAATCTGATAAGTCGTTTTTAAGGATTGAGTCGTATTCACTTTCTAATATAACATCAAAACCTATCCTTGAAGTATCTCAAATAACCAACTACAAATATCCTAACTCAATCCTATAAAATAGCTTATGAAATAAGGTTTGCACCTCACTCATATACTTCAATTTAAGCATATCTCTAACGAAGTGGGATTTTTAACACTCCGCATCATGGATATGGGTGATTTCCAATAGTATTGCTCTTATTTTAGATGTACATATTTTGCATACAACAATGTAAACAAACTAATGGCACGTACTCACATCACACATCGTGATATTTCTGCTAAATATTGTAGAAAATATGAGCAGAGAGACTTAATTTTAACAATTCAGAAAAAGCTCAACTAAGTCAAACTAGATTTTGCTTCCTTCAAATAGGGGACAAGGGTCATGGCAAGATTTCCATTCCAAAATTATGTATTCTTATGGCTTCACTATGCCGTGAATCTGTTACTAAATTGAAGCACAATTTATTAGAAACCCTTAACCTGGTAGCAGAGCTTGTACAAGTGGCAGTGCAGCCCACAAGTCCGAACATCTCTCTGCCAACTTGCTGCAAAGAACAGGCTGTAAACTGCAGTGTCAAACAATGTATACAAAATACTGCAAATTGTGACTATAATCAATGCCAAGGAATTATATAACATTTAATTGAAAGAAACCTGTGATGCACAAGAATAAAGAACATGTAAGATCCCTTCTTCCACAACCCCAATATCTAATATATTTAGATAGCTGCAATCCCACTGCTCATCTGGAATCCGGAATTCCTCTCCCAACATTTTTGAGTAATCAACAAAATTGACAGGGCTAGACAGTTTCAAATTTGATTTATCTTCCAAAGGAGAAGTTGATTCATCTTGAGGGTTTGATACATTATGCTTAGTATCGGGATTAATGAGCTTGTGCATAATTTTAGATGCCTGAAATAAAGGTAATACATGGCAGAAGAACACATTAGCAAGAACCGGATGAGCACAGACATGAAAAGAAAAACATAGATATTTCCCTTTTGGGTAGTAAAAGCGTATTTAAACTAGATTACAGATCCATGCGTGGCACAGTAAATTTTTTTTTTTTAACAATAATTATTTAATTTTTGCTTATTATAATATTAATTAGGTTTATTTTTTGTTTTTATAAATTGAATATTTTAACTTATTTAAAAAGAGTAAAGTATGGATTGGTTTCTAAGTCATTTATTTAACATCAATTTTGTTATTATTCAAATATTTGCAACATATCAAATAATTTTTAAAATTAAGAAACGAAATAACTCAGAGATATATTTATTAGCTCAAAAGAATAAATATATCAAATTAACTTTAAGTCAATATTTGGATGAATCAATTCATAATTTAGCTTAAGGCATAAAAACATTTTATGTTTAGGATAAGTAAAAGAAATAATGTAATAAAATATTTTATGTAAGAAATAAAAGTAAAAAGTTGATATAATTTTAAATCAATATAGGAACAATATAATATTGTTTCAGTATTGTTCCTATTTTGTTGTTGTTGTAGTAGCATGATATTATAATATTTTGATAATAAAAAATAAAATAGAATATTATTACAGTAAAAAATGAAACAAAAAATGAATTGAAAGAATAGGAGAATACTGTAGTAGACATTGCACACATTTTATCATAATATAGATTATATATTTTAATGCATAAATTTGAATAATTAATTTTTAATTATTAAATTATTTATTTAGCTCTTAAATATTTATATAACAAATATTTTCTTTTAAAAACTTAAAGCATAAGAAAATCTTTAAAAACTAAAAGAATAATTATTTAGCTTTTGAACAACTATTTATGACTAACAGGGCGCAACGCGTCCACATTTTTTACAATAATAAAAAAATAGTTAACACAATTTTCTTTGATGTAAAAGCAAATTTGAGGGTAAAATAGAAAGAAAATGTGTAAACCAAAAAAGCAGTTACAAAGATGTATCCTCTTTATTAATTGTTAATGTATAATAATTCTTATAGATTATAGAAGATTACAAAAAACAATATTTACTATATAAGTTAAAAATAAATTATATTTATCTACCCTTATATAAATAGAATGATTCGTAATGTGCACTTTAAATTTTGATAACATAAAAATAAAAACAAATAATTATGTTGATTGTGAAAAAATAATCAGTTACTTAATTACTTAAGATAAGCAATGACAATATAACTATAATAAAATATTATTTAATACAATAAAATATTTTCATACAATTTTAATAATATTATTGACTGTATATAATTTATAATAATATCTATTTTTATAACATTACAATAATATTATGTTCATTATGCATACATACACACCACGTATATAAGAAAATATGTTGACAGGATATTATTCTTATAGATAAAATAGAAAAGAATAATTCTCAGGTGAGTACTGTAGATGACGTTGAGCAGCTTACATTAATAGTATATATAAATAAATATATATATATATATATATATATATATATATATATATATATTGATAGATACATAGATAGATAAATAACTATATGGGTAAGAGATAAATACCATTCTACAAACAGAGCCCAGATCAGAATCTTTATATGCCTTTCTCAGAAGCACAAAAATTGCATCTGGCCTAAAAACTATGGCACGGTATGAAGATACAATTAAAGGTGATGCACTTCGTGATCTCCTTGGCTGCAAGAAAATAGAAATAAGGTTCATGAACTTCATGGATAGAGGGGTAATACATGTGGAATGAGTATCACATAATAAAAAGTACAGGAAGAATAAATAATATAAAGCAAGTAGAAGAGACTGAATATGGATTGGATTTCAGAAATTAAAATGGCTAAAGCAAAAAAACATTGTCTGTCTATCAACTAAGAAAATATCATATTTAACAATAACTTCCCCTCCCAGAATATGATGTAAGAAAAAGTCATACTTAGGAAATTAAGCAATGATGCATTCACTTTAATTGGTCGATTTTGGATATGTAAACCAAATACATGCTGATGATTAATTATACAAGATTCTAGTATCAGATATAAAATAAATAGGGCCTTACAAAAGTACCTTAGCACCTTTGAAGACCTAAAGGAAAATAATTCAAGGGTTAATTGAACCTCCCGAAAAGGAAGTCACATCTAGGGTTAACTGGAGCTAGGAAGGTGATCATTTTCTCAATTTTGAGCGTGGAAACAGACAAACTTATCATGTGATAATCAAAGAAATGAAAAACATGGTGTAGTAAAAATAATAAACCTTAGGGGAATGTACCTCAAAGTTAGAGGAAACAGTTAGGATTGGTGACAGTTGACTGCTTTTGGAGACATCAAGGTCAGCGATATTACCTGGAGGTTTTGATGTTGTCCTGTAATTAAACAAATTATTTGTACTAGAGAACTTATGAAAAACAACATAGACCATTCATGCACAAGCACACATAGATAAATAAAATATGTTCTTAAAGAAATTCAGGTACTCCGTACATATAACAACAACCATATGAACTAGTTTCCAAAACAAGCACAACAACAACACAAATACTGTATGTATAGTAGGCTACAAGTGTCAATTAACAACATTGAATTCTATCAAAACCCATAATATCAATATAACCATTACAGCGATAGCCTCTTTCAAATGTTTACCCCAAAACTATAGGTGGCCTTGCCCTGTCCATTTGAATTTAAGTACCAAACTTTCTTCCTTTTGATCCCCTTACTGGCATTTATGGGATGTCTTCTAAATGCAAAACCACTGCAAAGAAAGTATTTTCCTTCCCCTCCTATTAATTCTACTCCAACTTCCTCCCGAGCACATTTATTCCTAAACTGATATTTTCTATTATGTTTCCCATCCACCTTAATTTTTGCATCTCTCTCTCCTACATAATTTTTAGATCCTTTAGCAGTTTGAAGCCCAAAATCAAATGGCTTACTTTTCAAGCTGAAAACTCATAAAATTTACAGTGTACAAATGAAGCAGAATACATAGTTTAAGTATCTATTTAATGAGGGCATATCAATTGAAATATCTAACAAATGACAATTCGTCAGTTTACTTTACTGACAATCTTTGTTAGAAATTATGTTTTTTCTTACTGAAAAAATATTAGAGAATACAATTTCCATTTAGAGAAAAATAATTATCTAGTCAAGATGATATTAAAAGCAAACTAACCTTTCATTCACCACATGAAGAATAGGATATAGAGGGCCAGCAAGCATGGCAAGAAATCGTATGTTAGATTCAGGATTATCTGGAAAGCTTGAAAGGTCTGTCTGCAGTTTTACATACACTGTTGAATGACCTAAACAAAAATATGGACAAAACAAAGAGAAAAAAGGAGGAATTATAAATAAAATCATGGAAGTAAAAATGCTTGGGTCTACCTCTAATTGTGGAAGAAATACAAGCAACCGACTTGTCACATCTTGCAATAACTGTAAACTATAAAACATCAATAAGGAAAGAATAATAATAGAATAAATAAACTATATCATAATCATGTCAACGGAAGCAAGGTAATCCACCTGCAGATGAATATCATGAGGATCCTGTTTGTGAGATAAAATATGGGGTAGCAAATGATTAACAACAGGTTGAAATTCAGGCTCAAGACCAGCCACAGAAACTCCTATTAGCTGCATGTCACAGATGACAAAAACAAGCTCAGTAACAGCAGCTCACAATATGAACCCTTTTCATAAAAGTAAGTTGTGTTAAAAACAGAAAGGCAGAAGAGTACACAATCATGGAGATACAAAAGTAGATAAAGAAAAAACAATAAAGAAACATTAATAGTTAAAAACCAATCAATGTAGAAGAGCTATGACTGTGACAGAGCAAACAGTCCAAAACTTTGTCAAGATGTGTTCTATGAAAAGGCTTTTCGTACACACTGTTGCTATTTGATGGGACAGGATACTTTAGAAAAGATTTTCAAGAAAACTCTTGCGGAATAAGAGATGTCAATGAAAAACCTTTGGTAGGGTATGAAGTGCAGCTTTGCCTAGATTAGCTTCAAAATAGTTCTCTTTTTAGTTTATATTCTTCAGGTGTTGGCTTTGTGTCTTGTCTATTTGACTCCTCCCCATCAAAATACACAAAAATCAAGAAATATAAAAGTACGCTTTGAAAAAAGTGAGAGTCTAGTATTCAGGTTCTTAAGTTATAACTGGCAGCACTTGTGTCGTTTATGGGAGAGAAGAAGAGGGTTTGAATGGATATACTGAATGCATACGGAACACAAATAACGTGAGACAATGTTGTTACAGGAACCAAGATGAAATAGATTTGGTGAACGGAATACACAGACAATTACTTTTCAGCTGTATTGTTTTCATTAAATGGCGGTATACAATATTTGACAGATAAATATATCTAAGAAAATGTGTACACCAAAAGAGGTTATTCCCTTTAAATCTTTCTTTTGATGTGCATCTTCCTATCTAATTAACCAAATGGCCTAAGGTAAATGAAGAAAAATATCTCACAAATGTACAGGATTTAACTCTAGATTATAGAGTAATAACAAATAATGGAAATGATAAAGCTATTACAATATACCTGAACAAAGAAAATAGCAATTGGATTTCCACGCAAACAAGATATCCTCACATATCGGCATGGAGTGTAATTTGTAGGGTAGATCATGTCACGTCTAGGTGCTTCACAGCGTGGACGAACTTTCTGGAATGTCTCTGGCTGGAAAGCAAATATAAAAGGAATCAACAAAGCATGGACCAGAGTTGTTCATCTTGGAATATGCATAGCATAATTAAAAGCAAAAATAAGTCATCTAATTGCAGAGGAATAATACAGCATCATTGTCAAAACAAGGAATTGAAGGAGTTCAGTTTAACATTATTTATGCAAATTTTTATTAAAAAGCTGAAGAGAAACAACTCAACATTCAGCTGAAAATATGGTGGCATCTACATACAGTGAGACTCAACCAATTCACCTCCATCTTCCTAACACCCAGGTTGTTAGACTGAATGCTAGCCAACATTATCATTCCCAGTCAATTAATTTATCAATTTCATTTAATCAGCACAACTTAATCACATCATAATTGAAGAATGATCTTATCAAGAAGGATTTCAAGAAGCATGCATCATGCTGACTATACTAAGTCAGTAAAACAACAAGACATGACTTCAGATAACCTTTAATAAAAGACAACAATCAGACTTCTTAAATTCTCATCAGATTGAAATACAAAAGATTCAACCTAAAAAATAAACACAAAAGTGAATTATTCTATCCACAATTTCCAGTCTGACCACAATTATGCTTTCAAAAGATGTGATGACAATCTGTCAAAACCAGTTGATCCAATAAAGCTTAAACTTGACAGAATTTAAATTTGTCAGTGTCTAAGGTCCCAATTTTTTACAGTACCTACTGGTGACAAATGTTTGCTTGTCAGATTTTATATATCAGCATTTGTTCAACACTAATTAGACCTAAAAGAATGAGGTAAACCATTAGGTATACCAATACCTCTCCTTTATAAACTAATAATAACAGGATAAAAAGAATAAGAATTGTCAATGCTCATTGATTGACAATTTCCAGCCACTAACCTTGTATCGTAAGCCAACCGCAATTTCCCACTCAAGTACAGACTTGTTATAAATCCGTATATGCGACAACAGGCAAGGCTCCTGCGACAAAGAAACATAACTACCATTTAATTACACAATGAGACACAAAACATCACAGATGCAAGAACAAATGTCCAACTGCTTCCAAACTGAATCTTGTGCAACACAGAAAAAGCAGTTACAAGGCCTACAAACTTGCACCAAACAAACCATTTGTCACATCAATCCTATCCACAGTCTACACAACACAATTAACTCTTCCTTTTCATTTTCAAATTTCAGAAGGCTTAAATATGCTTTAGGTTCCAATATATGACCAATGTTTTTTTCTTTTTTCAAATAAGATACCTAAGATATTGAACATTTTGGTTCAAGTCTATTTTTTACTTGTGTCAGTTTTAATGCCAACGTATCCCTTAAGTTAAAATGCATGTCACATGATCTGGAGTGTTGAGGAATAATATGCATTAAGTCTCGTATGTTACATGTACTGAGATATGTCACCAAATTATGGGAAACATATTGATTGTTATTTGAGGGACCAAGAGAGAAATCTAAAATATTTCAGGATCAATTAAAACGTTAACACAATAGTAAGAACAAAATACAAATAAACATTTTTTTCCAAGGACTTAAACCAAAATTTTATGATTTATTAGGCACCCAATTTATAAAAAATAAAAAAATAAAAATTAGTGGGAACACAAAATAAAAATCGGCCATAAATTGGGGATCTAAGACTTATTTAAGCCATTTCAGCATCACTAATATGTCACACCAGCCAAAACTCCTCCAATAATTATTACTAAAGAACAAGATTTTAAAAGACAGTCCATGACTGAGATTTCAACTGCAACATCAATGTTTTTTATGTGTCCTCAGCTACAATTGTGGCACCATTTTGCCACATTTGTCCACAATTTCCCACAATATCACAGGACACAACAAAGCCACAATGCAATTTAAAACCTAGCTCAAAAGTTGAGAAACAATAATAAATAATAAAAACTCAGAAATATGATTCAGAATACTTAATCTTAACTAATATTACACCCCACTCGAGCAGTCAAATACTGAAACACATTTAAAGTGCAAAACCTAAGTTCTAGCCTCGCTCCTTCATGAATCAATTTAAATAAATAAAGTCCATTATCTTGAATCAGCCCTAGAGTTAAAAAGCAAACTAAAGGAAACAATCACTCACTGTATATCAAGAGAGTACAGTATTATAAAAACAAATAAGTCTATAGGAAAAAATAATAAGTATAATAAAAAGGTGAAAATAAAAATTGGAAGTGAAAAATCTAACTTCTAGTTTCAGTCATTTTCAGCATCAAATGAAATAAGCAAATCAAGTTCCCCATGTTCAAGCAGTTCTATAGTTGAACCATCAACCAAAGGAAACAATCATTCACTATATATGAAGAAAGTGTAGTATTATAAAAACAAATAACTGTAAGGATATATAATGATTAATAAATTGAAAAAGAAAACCGAAATGGTAAAGCCTAAATTCTAGTTTCACTCATTTATGCATCAAATTAAACAAACAAATAATAAAGCTGCTTAGATCAGCCCTAGAGTTCAAGACCCAACCCAATAAAACTATCATTCACCACTTATCAATAATTAATAATTATTAAGATGATAATAACAAGGTGAAAACAAAAATCAAAAACTTAAGATTTAGTTTCACACATTTATGCATCAAATTAAACAAACAAAACAAATAATATATTTATTCATCTCGGATCAGCCCTAGAGTTCAAAACAAATAATAAACAATCATCCATCATTTACAAATAATTATAATGATGATTAAAAGGTGAAAACAAAAAAAATAAGTGCTCAACCCGAGTTCTAGTTTCACTCATTTATGCGCCAAATTAAACAAACAAATAAAGTTCTTCACCTGGAAGCAGCCCTAGAGCTCAAACCAACTAAAAGAAACAATTATCCACCGGTTATAATCGAAAGTGCAAAACCAAAGTTTCTATTTTCACTAATTTATGGACCAAATTAAAAAAACAAATAAAGTTCTCCATCTGGAAGCAGCAGTAGAGCTAAATAAACCAACCGAAAGAAACAATCATCCACAGTTTATAATTGGAAGTGCAAAACCTAAGTTTTAGTTTCACTCATTTATGTACCAAATTAAACAAAACAGACAAGTTCAACTAGAAGCAGCTCTAGAGCTCAAAAACCAGCCGAATGAAACAATCATCCACCGTTTATAATCGAAAGTGCAAAAACCTTAGTTCTAATTTCACTCATGTATGCGCAACAAATTAAACAAATAAATAATGTCATCCATAAGGACTCAGCCCCAGAGTTCAAACACCAACGAAGGAAACAACCATTCACCGTTAACTCGGAGTGCAATATTGAAAAAACGAATAAGTCTAAGTTAAATAACAATGACAAATTACAATAATAATAATAAGTTAATCGAAAGTCGAAAGCTAAGTTCTAGTTTCACTCATTGATAAAGCTCGTAATCTGGAAGCAGACCTAGAGTTCAAAAACCAAACGAAGGAAACATCATTCACCGTACATGAAGAGATTACAGTAATACAAAACTGAATAAGTCAGAGGAGAATGATTATTAGTATTATTAATATCATTACAATGATAATAAGATGCATGAGAATGAACATTGAAGAAAATGTCGAGCGGCATTGAAGAAAGAGAGATGGACAGACATCGAGTTCTAGAAGAATCCACTCCTTGGTGTTGGTGGCGGTGGACCAGTGAGTGCGGAGGTCGTTGTCGAGGACGTTGAGAGCTTTCTGCGACGCCGATTCTCGCGACGTCGCTTTGACCTTGAACGGCAGCGCCTTCACGCGAGGCTCCAACTCCGCCTCCATCTCACGAATTCAACTCGATTCAATGAATAATCGCAAGTCACAACACGAACGCACACTTCGTGAATGGTTAGGGTTTTATAGTTTTAATATTTTGTGCATTCGTTTCGTTGCAGTGTGTGTATCACTGACAGAGACACAGATAACAACACTGGAAAGAAGAAAAAAAGAGTAGTAGAAGAAGAAGAAGAAGAAAAACCCCTTTTATTGCCGCTTCACATCCAAACCAAGCGTTTAATATGTTTGGTGTTGGAACCCAACGGAACAATATTATGATTTGTAATAACAAAAGAAATAAAGATTAAAAATATCACATTATCTATATTTTTGCAGGCATTGTTTTATTTAAAAAAAAATTATATTAATAAATTAGGTAATTACTATAACAACCAAGTATTTATTTAATAACTAATAATTTCATTACTGATCATATGTTAGTTAAATCACATTTTTTCTGTAGCATAAACATATTCATCAAATAATCACATTCAAAAATAGATATGGGAGCAGAAGCAAATAAGTTACTAGATTAAATTAACGCATTTTAAATCTTTCAAAAATCACTGAAATTTTATTTTTTAAAAATAATATTCAGAAAAATAAGTAAAATGCGAATTTAAAATAAATATTTTTAGACAATAGAGTTATCTTTACAATTTTTTAATAATAAAATTTTAAAATAATATATATTCTCTTTGTTTCATATCCTAGTGAATTATTAGAACATTCCATGAAAAAAATAAAATAAAAGATGTTCAATGATCTCTTTTTCCATATTGAAAATAGATTTTCAGTAAATATATTTAGTTCAAAACAAACAACGAAGGTAGAAAAGGGAGTAGTATTTTTCATGTATATTATAAAAAGTAAAGTAGAACTAATACAAGTATAAACACCACATAACCAAAATACACGAATTAACTTAATGTATTAAATTTTTTTATCTTTATATAGGTACTTAAAAATAAATGAACTATATCATATAAATATTATTAATCCACTCTAAAATAAAACGACTCTAATAAAAGATAAATTAATAATATAATTGATGGTTATTCATTTCTTTTATAAAAAGGATATTTTATGTTTTAAAATCTTTAAATAATCAAATATAACTTAAAAGTTGTTATGACTTTTTAAAACAATTCATAAAAACTCATTATTATAACTTTTTAAAACAAAAAACAAATTATCACGAAATAACATTTCACATAAATATTTCATCATCACATATATTAAAATATATATCAACACATAAAATTTACGTATAAAAAATTATCACTATGTTTATTAAATTTTAACTAATATTTCACTCACTTATGACATTTTATTCAATTCTAAAATTATCCTAACATAGAATTTTATCTTATTTTAAAATTATTTTAATTATCTTATTTACTATACCTAAAATAAAGAAAACATACAATTTTTTATTCTAATAGTTACAATCTATTAAAAAAAAACATCAAATCCGTGGTTATTGTAGGAAACAAAACATTGATTCAAATAAATAATGCAAAATGCAATTAATTAATTTGCATGCCCTTCATCTAGTACACGTTTATGTTACATATACAGAATTTAAGATGCAGCAAAGTTGCGGATTTTAAAAATCGGTAAATTATAAAAAAATGTCCATAAAAAAAATTAGGAAAACCAAAATTAGGACAAGAAATTAATTTTTATTTTTAAAATTTCATTTTACCCTAAATTTTATGTAGTAGTTTCTGTAATTTTAATTTAGGTATAACACAAATTACTTACAAGTAAAACATTTTATTATTATATATATATATATATATATAAACAGTATCATCTATGGTCATAATGCTTAGGTAATATCGATATGTAAGAGTCATTTAAATTATCTACAGGTAAATTTGTAAATATTACGTATTTATATACGCATGAAATTAACAAATTTTCGTAACGTATAAGCGAAAGTGTATTTTGCATGATATTTATTTATTTTCACATAAAATTGGTAGTAGTTTTTATTATGTATAACTGTGTTTATAGTTTTGGATTTTTTTAGTTTCCAAATTAGAAAAAAATTCCTTTGAACAATCCAACTTTTGTAAAATATGATTTTAGTCTTTTTAAATATTAAATTAGAAAAATTATCATTTGAGTTTCTCAATTTTGGTATTCAAATATTACAATAATAATTTTATTTTATTTTGAAGGACTGTTTTTTTTTAATTTGGATACAAAATAAGGGACTAGAGATTTATTAAATCTTGTATTATACAATAAAATTTGTCAATACATCAAAAAATTAGAGCATGGTACAATGTTTTATACATAATAAGAGTTCTTATTCTGTAGTTATATTGTTTCTGTTACTATTCCTTTCAAAATTGTCATAAGCTTGTTTAGTCCTTATGAAGAGCAAGAAACTTGAAACCAATCCCACCATTGAAATGCAACTCCACCATATGGTTTGTTGGTAGCACTTCCTCCCCATGCACATGGAAATTTCTCGCAGCCAAAATGCAGGGCTTGCTTTTATTGCATTGGAATCATAAACCAAGGCTGCAAGAAGGCCATAGAAGCATGAACCTATGGGAATGTTGGTGATGAGGATGTTGTGGTTCACTCCAACACTGTTTGGACCAAATAGCTCTGAGGTAATAGACACTGCTGCAGAAAACACAAAGCCTGAACTCAGCCCTATCAAGGCAGTGCCTATGTGCAATGCTGCTCCACTGCCAGATATGGCCAGCATCATGAATGCAATTGGTGTTGGTACCAAAGCTGCTGCAAACCATCCAGTTCTTGCAAAGTGTATTCTCCTGCATTGTCATACAACATTAGTTCATTCATAACTTTTTGTAAATGGAAAAATACCAAAGTACAGAATATTTTATTTTGCAGAACATCTAGATTTGGAAATTGATTTTAGTACATATGTGAGAAGGGAATCAAAGTTATAAGTCAGATGAATTCATTTAAGGGGTAGAGTTCTCCTGATACCTATTTAGTGGCATGCTTATTAACTCTTGTTTGAACCACATTATGTTAAGCAAAACCAGCTATGAATATAGTTGAATTCTATCAAAATTCTAGCTAACTTATCACCACCTACAAAGACCATTAAAAGTACCTGCTTAAGAAGTCAGGTGTGGCTGCAAGAAGGCGACCAAAGAAGGAACATGTGGAGTAGAGTGTGACAAGAGAAGAAATCTGAGAATAGTGTCCTAGTGATTGGGAAATTTGCCCCAAGTTGTTGCTGTAAGCCAACCCAATTGTTCCACCACATAAATATGCTATGTAGTACAGCCAGAAGTCCCATCTGTGCACCAGCAACTTGATTGAATGCTCTTCCCCTAGCATTGTAAGCTGATCTTTCTCCAACATATTCACAGGACAACATATTTTTTCACTTGTGCTTTGTGCACTTCTATTCGTTGCACTGTCCTCTATGCTAATGAGCTCTTTGTAAAGATCATTGTCATCAAGTTCAGCACCAGCGAATCTTAAAAAGTAGAAGCAAGACGATTCTCTAGAATACACAATGGGAGGCACAAAAAAGAGCAACAGAAGGAGAAAAATGGCACCTACAAGGATTATACGAGCAATGGTAGCGGTGTAAGAGAAGGAATATAGGAAGAGGAGGTAGAGGCCTGCGACAAGGGCAAGGATGTTAAGGCAGAGGAAAATCGTCGAATCACGCTGCATGGTGTCAGTAGAATGTGGTTGAGGCTGTGGTTGATGGAGAATTGGGATGAGTACTAGAACAGATATTAGCACAGGAACGGTAGCATTGAGTAACAGGTAGAGAGAGTCATCATTTGAATTTATTGCATTGGCAATGAGCGTGTACAAAGCAGCACTGACACCATTGAAACCAACGGTCAAGGATAATGCAAGTGACCGGTTAGCAGGAAAATGTCTGATGCATAGGACATAGCAGATGGTGTTGAAACAGCAGATGCTCCAGCCAGCAATCAGACAGAGGAAAAAAACCTGTTCAATGTGCACCATTTTTTTTCTTTTAGTAACAAATTAACAATCAATTTGGAATATTTTATAGAAATATAATTTTCATTTGATTTGTGCTATCTACATGTTACCAAAGTCCCTCAAATTTTAATCACAACAAATTTTAAATCCAAGTGAAACTGATCTTTTTATTAGGGGAAAAATGCATTTTTCATTGGATAATCTTTTTATCATGATTTTGACTTAAACTTATCTCAAATCTTCACACGCAATCCTCTATTCCCACTTTAAGAAAAAAAGGGTAGGTCAACTAACACAACAAAATGGTGAAAAGAACTTCAGAAGAATGCTTCATGGTTCAGATATCCCCACTGAACTGACTATAAACAGTAATTGGCTTGAACCTTAAAAGTAAAAGTTAGGGACAAATAAGTTTATTCCCTAAATATGTGATTACAAATTAGATTATTAATTGGTAAATATAGAAAAACATATACTGCAAAATAACAGTCTTTGAATGGATGTCAGTATCTCACAAGATTAGTCCTTGTTTCGAACCAAAGGGATACTTGAGTTAAAAGAAGAGTAAAAGATAGAAAATTTCATAAGAGTGCATAAATTATTAATTGTATTAGTTTTCTTGAATCTACGAAAGAAACTAAAACAGATAAACTCAGGGCATGTCCAAAGTTGGTCAGCTAATAATCCTAACCAATTTGCAACTATAAGAACAACTCCACCAGCAGTCTAGTTAGTTGAAAACAACAGGGCAATTTTTTATTAGAAACCTAAATTCAGGCACAATTTTTTATTTGCACACCAAAAGTTGGTCATTAGATCAATTCAAAATTTGGTTAGAATGTAACCAAATATAAACACGATGATAAAACGGGTTAAGATAATACGGAACGAGTGAGTGATTTTAACCTGTTTTGGCTAGTCCGATCCAGCCCGGAAATCCGATGAATCAAGGGTGGGTCAGACAAGTTGATCAACTTAAAAAAATATTTATATATTAAAATTAAAAAATTATATTTTTTATCATACAAATATATTATAATAATATAATTTAAATTATAAATATTAATTAATTAAGTTTAAATTATTGATTATAATTAGTTCTTTTAACATATAAATATAATATTTGTTTTCAATTTATCTAATAAAAATATTAATTAATAAATAAAAACTTAAAAATTATTTATATAATTAAATATGTATTTTTTAAATTATATATATAAAACAATTGTATTAAAGAAATATTAGCGAGGTAGTATGTTAGCATGTCAATCCACCATTTAACGTAATGAATTAGGATATATAAGTCGTGGAGCAGTTTATCTTGTCTTATTTTTTGACACGATAAAAATTGAAGAGATAAAAAAAGGGACGAAGTGACATGTTTTATCATCTTGACTATGAATTACTACAATCTAAGAGTAGAAGCAATTAAAAAAATAATAAAATAATAATAATGTCATCTATATATTTAATTCCTCAATCATTTGGAATTTGTAGAATTCATCATCTGTAGCAGCACATGGATTAAAATATATGAATATGATGTAGAGATATGATACTTTATTTATTATTTTTGTGCTATGATTATGACCTTTTTAGTATAATTTATTTTACAAGGAAATGAGACTTTTTTTTTATATGATTTTATTTCTTACTACTTAGATTTGGTATAGTTTTTTAACAGCACACAATGCCAATCCTAAAAGTTACAGGATTATTTGTTCAACCACTACACTAATGATTATTTTATGCAACCACTAATGAAGTTATGTGTTTCATTGCTAGAACAAGAAAAAAAAAAGTGAAGGGAAATATAAGTTTGGTGAGAATTGTTGTCTAACTTAAGTTTTGAATATCTTATTTTATCTCTAGTAATGAATAGCTAATCTTTGTTTGTTAATGATTACATGAGTGATGATAAAAAAAAAAAAGCAGAATTGTTTTTTCTAGTTTTTAACATAAGTTAATTTTCAGAATTATTAAGAAAGGATGATTTCAATTTTTTTTAAAAAGTGTTTTTAAAAATGAACTATTTTTAAAAAAATTACTAATTGCAAAGCAGATAATTTGCCTTTTTAACTATTTTCAAAATGAACTGTTTTTAAAAATAGTTATTCAGAAAAAAATAAAAAAATCTGATTTTTCACTTTCATGTCCTTCTGAAAAATTAACAAAAAGCACGAGGGTGAAAATTGTGTGCATAATTCTACTCCAAACAAAGCTCTTCCATAAAATCCCAAAGAACATAATTTCCATTCCCTTGGACAATGTCATGTGATTCCATAAATCTTCATGAACTAGTCAAAGAAATTAGAAAATTCTGCATAATAAAAGCACATTTTACCATGCAAATGATTCACCGGACAGAGAGTTATTAACCTACTTACTTTCCCAAATTCATGAATGTTTGAAAAGAATTCCAGATAGTAATGAAACCCCACACCATCAAAAAGCACAATGTATGAAATGAAAATCAAAAGAATAACTAACACAAGTGTTGTGTGAAGAAAACTGACCACAGAATAAGGCAAAGTGAGGAACCTATGAATGAGAAGCCATTGGAAGCCATAGCCAAGGAGTCCCAAGAAAGCAGCCATGAACAGAACCACCCAGAGAGGAAAATAGATGAGTGAAACCCCTGAGCACCAGCCGAAGGCCTTTCCCATGTCCGAGGCCACAGAGAGGTAGTTGAGCTGAAGCTGAGTTATGTCAAGAACAGATTTCAGCTCTGAAGAGTATGATGAGAAGTCAAAGTTTGTCCCAGTGAATGCCTGAACCCATATTGCTGCCAGAAGAACCACCCACTTTCCTGATTCCCCCACCATGAATTCCATCAATCAATTTAATTCAGGAAATTAATTGATCCAAGAAACTAATCAATTCAAGAATTAATTAATCAATTTCTCCAATTTCTTCTTCTTCTTTTTTTCCTCCTTTCCTTTGATGAATCAACTTTTCTTCATCCACCAAGAAATCAGGAGGAGCTTTGCTTTTTATATCCTGTTTTTGCTGAAATTGGTGATGCCTTTGTTGCTTAAAGAAAGAAGGGTGGTTGCTGGTCTCTATCTTGTATTATTCTTTCATTATTACATTATATAAAAATTTTGGTTCTTATATTATATTCATTTTCACTTTTTATTTTTAGAATATTACAATTTAGTCTGTATTAAAACATTATCTGCAATTTAGTCTCTGTTATTTATGAATGTTTTAATAATATGTTTTTTTTTTCATATATGAATTAAAGCGAAAAAAAGGATAAGTTTTTATAAAGGGATTAATTAAAATCTTAATCATACTTTTTATTGAAACTTAAATATTCTGATTTTTTTAATTTAAAAACATTTATTTTAGTCTCTAGAAATAAATAAAAAGCTCTCTCCACAATAAATTACTGATAATATATTGGATGTAATTTTAGAAATTAAAATTATAAGAGATTAATATATATATATATATATATATATATATATATATATATATTAATTTAAGGGGTTTAAAACAGATTTATATCAAATTTGAGGGAAGAAAGATTGTTGATCCCTTTATTTCTTGTATGCAAATTCTTTTTATATATATAAAACAGAACTTCTCATCAAATTAACAGAACTTCTCATCAAATTAACCTCTCCTGAAATTATTTACTTAACTGAAGTTTTTTTACTGCTCTACTTGGAATTAATTCCAACTTTAAACTTACTACTTTTTTTTAAATTAAAAATTAAATAAAATATATAATTAAAAATAATAAAATTAATATTAAAAATAAAATTTTAATTTTAAAATTTAAATAATATTTATATAAAAATAATATATTATATAAATATATATTAAATTATTTAAATATATTTAAATAATTATTAAAAATATTAAATAATATTTTTTATTATATATTTTTTTATTTTTGAATAGGAAATTTAAAATTTATATATTTTTTTATTATATGAATTATTTAAGTTATAATTTTAGAAAAAAATAGAATAAATAAAAAATTAATTTAGGTAATATATTAAAAAATTAAATATTATATTATAAAAATTGATGTAATAGTTTTTATTTGATAAATTATAAATATTATATTAAAAAATTCATGCTAAAATTAATTTTTTTGAAATAATAAAGTAAAAATATTATTTAATTAGTTAAAAATTATTATTATTAATATAAAATAAACTTAAAAATTAAAAAATAATAAAAATTGACAGAATTTATTGTATAATAGTATAATTTAAAAATTTCAACGCTCACACAGATCATTATAAAAATGGTATTTCATTTTCAGCATAATAAGTATGCAACCTAACTCTATCACTTGTTTGAAACAAAAATAATAGTAAAAGACAAGTGTTTTTATTTGCACATCTTTCATATTCATGGTTTTTTTTAAATTGTAAACTCATATTTACCTTTTCAATAATTTAATGTAATTTTTATAGATTGAACCATTGCAATTTGCTTTCTGAAAGTTAAGATAATCATGAATAGGAAAAGTGATTAACTTTTAAAAAATAAGCACAATAATGACATTAAGATCTTTAATAGTGATTATCCATGACATGCTTAATGGCATTTAAAAGCGCAATCATTTAGTAGGATCGGCTGATATTGATTTAATATAATATATATTATTCTTATTTTTCTTTCCTAATTATATTTAAAATTATTAAAAGATATTAGAAACCACAAAATCAAGAAAAAAACTCATTCAATAAAGTAAGAGGAACACAATTTTATGATTTTCAATAAATTTGGCCAACCATAAAGGGTATCCTTAACAATGTGTTAGAAAGTATATTGCTAGCATTGTTCAATAACTAAATTGAAGATTTTCAGTTGCATTCTAACACAAACGCATCTACGAAATAAGCCTGAATAGTACTTCTATGAACTTTTTGATTGCATTGATGTTATAAGAAGAAGACCCACCATCTTTTTATTATGAATAAAGGTCAAAAATTTGTGTCATCATTTTCATCATCGAGAATGAGTTTGACTCCATTGTTCTTAAGAGCATTCACAACAGCCCAAACCTTTGTTTGGTTCTTAAATCCTTTCTTCCCTACTTCTTTACCTATGTTTGCATGAATCCCTCTTCCTTCTCCTTCATTAAGGCCCTCAACTTTGAGCCGCCTGGCTAATACCTCCCCAACAACTGTAGCTGCTTTAGCATTGCAGGACCTGCCACACTCAAGCGACTCTTTAATAGTGTGTTCTGCAGTGGATGATGTTGCTACAATCCGACCGTTGTTTCTATCTACCACGTTTGCAGTAATGTACTTCAATGATATGAACAATCTCAGAACATACCGCTTCATAACCGGCATTTTCAATTGTCTAACGGAGGATGAAAAACCAAGCATGGAAATCAGTTCAATAAAGACTATGAAACACCAAATATATCAAAATGAAAGATATGTTCACATATTTTAAGAGAATACATACTCTTCTCTTTATCTTCCATTAATGACCCCTTTGCCTATTTTCTTATTAATTTAATAAAAGGAGTCAAATTATTTATTAATATGAAACAATTCCTATGGTTAGAAGATAAAAGACAGATGCAACATTCAAGAGTCAATAAAATCTTAATTCAGGACAAAAGGACTAAGAGCGAGCAGCAACGTACTAGTAATTACTCAATTAGTTCCAAGATAACATGCTATCACAGAGTCATTGACATTTAACATAAACACAGCAGCACATAAACAACATAGTTTTTCCACAAAGTGCACAGTTGATGCATGAAGGTTATATATGAAGGTATGTACTCGGAGTAAGATTGCAGATACTATAGATTGAGAAGGAGAAAGTGGCAATGCATGGAAGATAATTGCAATCAAAACAACAATTAACAACATCAAATGCATTCTGCAGCCATACCGCGGAAAATAGCACAAGGGTGATTAGCTATTTCAAATTACAATTATGGGCTCATGAATACAGCAGAAAATGCAACTCTTCATGACATCTCCATACATGAAAGGGTATGAGATTAAGCAACTTGTTTCGCATAAAATTAAAAGATAGCTACGTATTGGAGGATTAAAAATGGAAAGGAGATCCATAACTTGGTAGATGACTACAGGCCTGATTAGCTTCATACTCAAATCTCCAATAGCGCATGTTGAATAAAATTTTACTCTGAGAAGCTTGATTTGGTATTTTAAACAAACAGACAGTACATGACATGGTTATCGAACTGGCTAATCCACTTGATAACTCGGACGAGTTTACGAGTTAGTGGCTCTGTCACGAGTTAACCCGTGAGTATACTAAATTTTTAAGCAGACTTGGTGTAAATTCGGTGGACTCGATTCAAACTCGCGGGTATGATGACTCGGACAAATTTAAGAGTCCGGTGGGCTCACAGTTAATTAGTTAGTAGACTCGATTTTCAGCAGACTCGGTGTACTCGATTCAAACTCGCCGGTGTAAGGCGAGTGAACGAGTTTGGAGGAAAAAGAAAACGAAGTTACCCCAGGCGTTTCTTCAAGTTTCGAACATTAGATCCGGTTCTGCTTTTCGTCTCAGTTTTTTGCGTTGCTCATCCCTGATCGCCACTGCTCGCCATCACTCGCCACTGCACTGCTCGTGCTAGCCGTCGTCGCTTCACTGATCGTGTTGGTCGTTGCGCTGCTCGCGTTGGTCGTTACTGTGCTCGCACTGGTCGTTTGCGTAATCGCAGGACGCCTGGTTAGGGTTCTGATTTGGGGATCATACGACAAGTTCGTTGGGGTTATGCCTCTGATTTGAAATTTAGGGATAAATGTTTTGGGGATAATTTTTTTTTGGTTCAAGTTCTTCATCTCACGGATCTGATTTGGGAATTTTTCTTTAATTTGTATAATTTTATTGAATTAATTTTTAAATTTTGTTATCTTGATTATTTCTAATATAAAGATTAAAATTTGAAAATGTTTTAAAACGGGTTAAAAAAGAACAAGACATGATGTTTTGCAAAATTTTAATTTCGCCATGCTAAATATAAAAACTCTTAGGCTTTCTATTCAATGAAATAGTATCATTAGGTACCTTTAACATTTCCATTTCCCAAAACTATAAAGTAGACGGAGAACAAAATTCAGTAGTTACAGGTTACATTGGGGTACTCCATTCACTTGTCTTTACTTTCAAACCATCTTATAATCTTGTGCATGAAAAATTTCCACAGGACAAAAAGTAAAGTTATTTATAAAAAATTATATAGAGGGCACATCAACTGGGCCATATAAAACTAAACTTCATAAACATAAAGGAAAGGAAAGGTGAGTTACTATGCCCTAATAAATGTCTAGCAAGTGCATAACACTATTTTAACAACAGGTTTTTTTCCAATAGAGTGGGTGATTTGTAATATAAAATATGTTGATAAACAGAGATCTATAGTACCTTCAACAATACCTCTTAAGTGGTGGTATGTCTAGGCTTCTGACAAATGCAGTTCAAACTGAATGTTGCTGTATCGTGCTTCCTCCAACTTCAATATTGATGTACTACATACCCTGCTTCATAAACAGTCAATAAATTTGTGGTTTCTAAGCATTATTCTAAAGGAGGACAAATAAGCTAAAAGGGTCAGTTCTCAAACATGCTATAAAAATAGAGATACTATTTAAGTTCAATTCAGTGCAACATTTCATCAAACACCTTATGTGTTGTCATGAAAACAGATTAAGAAATACTATTACTACCCAAGTTTAAAAGAAGCAACAAACATTTACTGGTCTTGATTTTAATGAGAGATATATGTGTGACATAGATAGGAACAAATTGCTATGTTTGCAATCTCATTTGACATGTTGGTGACGACATGTTGGTGACGAGCCTGACACTAAGAATAAGCAACTTCAGATGATAGGGTCCCAAAAGTGATTATAATATACATGTTGATGAGTTGAACAAGATTGAGAAGTTCTAGGCCACTGTCTATAATAAATCGAAATAATATATGATTTTAAAAAATAATGATTTTTAACCTGCATTCATTTGTTTTGAATATAAAAGTTTGGTTATGTATTATAACTAATAAAAAAAACACTTGGAATAACTTTTTTAATTACTTCTACAACAATATTTAATATTTGTGAATAACTTTTGTTATTAATTAATTCTTAAACTTTTTATTAAAAGTTTGAAATTTAGACAATTTAAATAAATTATTTATCCAATAATTTATCATTTAAGCTAAGTTAAATATTTTGTAGTTTGTGTAGATATAGTTAATTTGAATTGCTAAGTGTGAAAAGAATTAATTATAAAATAAAATACTTATAATTAGGATATTTTTAAATATTTATAATAGTAAAATTACTTTTCCTTTTTAGTGATGAGATATTATTTTATAGTATAATGGAATCGACAAACATAAATAAGAGATATTATTTTATATTACTTTTTTGAGATAATTCCTCCGATATCTTAATAAACTTAATAAAGTGGTAGGCAATTACTAGGTCAACAAGGAAAATATGTCTATATGGGATTGATAATCATTGGAGTTAGATCCTTAGCTAGGCATATGATCGGAGCCAGAGCTTTGATAGTTCTACAGGACTCCAAATTTCAAAACAATGATTCACAAAGTGTGATAGGTATTTTAGAGGTAGATTTAAATCAATATTTTTCATTGATATACCTTGCACCAAACTTTACACTTACACTTCCAGATTTTGTTAACCACATAAGTCTAGAAGTACAAACAGTAGGATTTGGACCCAATTGGGTGAACGAAAATCTACACTTAGACATCACCTTCATTGGAAGAATTAGTAACCATATTTCTTCCATGTATAGGATAAATACAAGACTATTAGAAGAAGCTATCAACTCTCATGGTACACAATTTTTGCCAGCTCAAGCCTTCACAAGGAGAAATGAAGGACACTTGTGGCAAACCCACTTACCAAGGGAAGAAGATACTCTAGTTACTGCCCCGTCATCTGCTATTTTGCATAACAGATCTAGAGGACTTATTCTAAGCTTCACGGACTATAGAAATATTCCACGACTAGACCTAGAACAAGATAGGTCAGTGGAAAACATACATAACACTTCTACTATTCCTGACAACGAAAACATTTCTATGATGAATATCGTAGAATATAAAGAGATGAAGATGATGACATGATTGATGAGGAATGAAATCATCATCAGGCTATTATAGCCATGTTCAGACAAGGATCTTCAAATTCTTTGTCCCAGACAAATAAAAATGTCCAAATTAATGAAGAAGATAATGTCATTAATGAGATGGACGAAGTTATAAATGCATTTTTAGATAAATTTTATCCAAATGAAGAAGATTTATTCTTTTCAGGATTCATGAAAAGGATGATTATTTTCAGGAACTCAATGATAGAACCATTTTTCGGTACCAAGATAAATTACTGGATAAATGTGTTCTTTCGAAACATATACAGTGAAGAATATTTCATTGAAATATTCTCTACACACCCCTTTAACATAAAAGGAGAATACTATCCAGCTAAACATCACTTGTTTCTGGATTCTGAGTTATTCACTGACATTTTCTTCAGTGATGAACTCCAAAAGATTGATCATGATAACCATCCTTTCACTACTGCGAGGTATGATCAATTCGAAGAAGAAAATGTCATAAAGGAGCTGTTAGCAGAAACCACCACTATCAGTCTTTGGGTAAGACTTGGAAAATCTTCTTATGTACGACAGAACTGTACAAACCCCGTCTCACCACAACCAATGAGTCTTTCAGATAAAGGCGAATTCACCCTTGAAGATTTCGAGGAGCTTCTTATGACATAAGCCTTTACGTCATACAATAATATCAAAAGATGACAAAAGTTAATGACAAATAATGATATCTTGCTACCTTGTCATGATTCCTCTGCTGTTACACGTTGTTAGGCCCTTTAAGCCTTGCGTGTTAATGACGGAAAGATTGAACCAATCTTTTGATATAATAATAAAAAAATAAAAAATAAATGAATAAATAAAAAAAATTACTATTCAAATTTTTGTCTTTTAGTGACGGAAAATATCTTTCGTAAACTCCTCTCCCTTTTAGATAACTTCTCTTTTAAGTTTTTTTAGACCCATAAGTCATAAAGTAGGTCCCACATGTAAATTTTACTATTCAACATTTTATAATTTTATTTTTCTATATAAGGACTTATAAACCCATTATGCTTGGCAAGAGTCCTTCCATCCCCCTCCTCTCTCACTCCTCCCTCACTTCTCCTCCTTCTCTCTACTTCTCCTTCCCCCTCTCTTATGTAAATCCAACTATATCAATAAGAGAAACATATTCAGCATCTCCCCTCTCCTTCTCCTTCCCTTCTCCCGAGTAAGTTTTCTTTATACAAATTTATACAATAAATTTTATTCCAAATTTGGGTAAATACACACCTCCTTTATACAATAAGACTTCTATTAAAGGAGAAATAAAATTTAGTTCTGAAGACATAAGATTTGTTCAAAATATAAAACAGATGGTAAACAAATTACCAATTTTACAATTACCATTAGACTCTGATTATTTTATAATTGAGTGCGATAGAAGCGAATTAGGATGGGGAGTCATCCTAAAACGCAAGAAAAATAAATATTCTTCTAAGATAGAAGAACAAATATGCAGATATGCTTCTGGCAAATATACTACTAAACCCCAAGTATACCAAACTAGCACTGACTATGAAGTCAATGCTATCATACATGCTCTAGAAGCATTTAAATTATTTCTGATAGATAAATCAGAAATAACCATTAGAACTTATTGTGAAACAATTGTTTCTTATGGAAAAAATCAGATTCATAAAGATAAAAAGTCACACAGAAGATGACTTTTATTCAAAGATTACATGAATTCTGGCTAAATTATAAATTTTGAACATATTAAAGGATCTGATAATATGTTCGTTGACATCCTTTCCAGGTACGTCACAACTAAGGACTTGGTCAAGTCCTCCAACAAAAACCAAGATTATGGATAATGACTTGGTGATACAAAATGACCCTGAGATTCCCCCGAGATATGGGTTTTTACACAGACCATTAAGATTTGGTGCTATTTCTAGCATCATCCTGCCATAAAAATTACTAAACACATAAAAAGGCTAAAAATAAGATTAGCCGAACTACATCTAAAGAAAGATGAAATAAACCGTCATAACTTTGTTTATGAGGTTTCCTTTTATAAGGCCCTTATAAAATCCCTAAAACAAGAATTAGGGAAAATAAGTCATTTTGTTGCTTGATATAACCTGTTTTCTGATTGCTTTTCAGGAACAAAGAGACCATTGATGACCACTACAAGTTAATATAACTTCTTTACTAATATTTCTTTTCACGAACAGAAAATCCAATGATGGATTCCACAAACAAAGGGAAATGGCCTTTAGGTCCTAAACCTACAAAATCCCCATTTATGGCGGAGAAATACATAAAGTATGGGAAGCAAGAACTACCTATACTTACACATATCTACCGGTTTCCTGGTAGAGAAAATACAAATGTCAATGAGATGTTTTAATTGATAATATTTGGAGTATTCCAAAACACACAACTCAAAATGAGCATCAAGTCGCTAAAATGAAGCAGAACATTATTAACACATTATATTGTTTCTGCAATGCAGATAAGAAGGAAGTTAGGTTGACTTCCACAACATCTCCTTCTAGTAAGGGGTTTACACATTATGCCCTAGTTACGGGGCCAAACAAAGGAGTTTATACTTCTTATAAAGACCTCTCTGACGCCAAGCAGGATCAGTTTTG